GTGCTTAATATATTTATTCAGCACCAGTATCCAGTGCTTACGGATACATACAAAAAACACAGAACAATAAGTTACAAACAATTAACAAGACAACTTACAAGGAATATAGGAGGTTCAAATGCTGTATAGCCAAACGAAGTAAGATCAGTCTAAATATTAATCAGCTTAGTATCAACTTATTAATCAATTGTTAAAGTCTTTAATCTTAGACTATTTAATGCTATGAGCCAGGCCATCTGGTAGAGTACTGAAGGGGTGCTAGTTACTCTACAACACATTCATTAGTTTTTTAAAAAAAAAATAAGGTGTTAAGAGGCCATTTGATAAAAATCGCCTGAGGATACCATAAGGTTGAAACCAAGGTAGCGGATTCAGTTGACTGCCTGATTTTGAAAGTGTATATATATATATATATATATATATATATATATATATATATAAAAGTAAAAAATAACTTGTAGAGCTTTTAACTTTAAAAATCAGGAGGTCACTTGAATCTGTTACCTTGGTTTCAACCGTATGGTATCCTAAGGCGATTTTTATCAAATGGCCTCTTAACATTTTTTTTAAAAGCTAATGAAAAAAAAAAATAATAATAATAATATAGCACTCATTAGATTCAGTTGAATCCACTACCTTAGTTTCAACCTTACAGTATCTTCAGGTGATTTTTATCAAATGACCTCTTAACGCTTTATTTTTTAAAAACTAATGAAAGAAAATAATAATAATAATAATATAGCGTTCATTAGTTTTTAAAAAATAAAGCGTTAAAAGGTCAATTGATAAAAATCACCTAAAGATACCATGAGGTTGAAACTAAGATAGCGGATTCAACTTAACTCCTGATTTTTAAAGTATATATATATATATATATATATATAACTCCAGGTAAAATGAGAACAAATGGAGTATAATTCCACTGTATGTAACATTTAATTTAAAAAGAGTGCTCAATACATAGAAGAGCTAAATATTATTTATTTTAGGATATAAAAAAATATTAAAAATCACTACATAATGGTAATTATATTTCAACACTATAAATGTGTCTCCTCAGGCAATGTTAGACTACTGGCAAGTGAAAGATTGATTTAATTTTCAAAAGCAAAATACATATAAAACCATTTCTTTTATCTATCACCTACAAAATTTTATGTAAGAAGCGGAATGAGCATACAACTAGCTAGCATTATGTCAAATTAGCTCCCCATCTCTTTTTGCTTTTACTTCTTACGAAAGTTGAACATTAGACTTCAATACATCTTATGAAATAATGTAACAACATGTATCTGCCCATTAGGAAATTGTCTAGGTTTTAAATGCTGACAACTTTGTGTGATGAACTATACTAAAAAAATTTTTTCCATTGAATTTGAATATAGCATAGATCACATTCAGTTTGTTAATAACAAAAAAGCCCACAAGCCTATTTTTTTAAAAGTATTTTGCTTTTAAAATAAATAAATCTTTCACTCACCAGTACTCTAACATCACCTGAGGAGGAGACATTTATGGTGTTGAAAAAATTGCCATTACGTAGTGATTTTCAACATCTCTTAATATCCTCAAATAAATAATATATATATATATATATATATATATATATATATATATATATGAACACTACAATATTTGTCTTGAAAAAAAAAAACCCTGATGATGTTATTATGCTAATGTTAAAAGAAGTCTCGTAATAGATAATATGTATCATCACATTAATTTCTCTCTTTCTTTAATATCATAACATAAATAATATATATATATGTGTGTATATATATTTATGTGTGTATATATATATATATATATATATATATATATATATATATATATGAACACTAGAATATTTGTCTTGAAAAAAACAACACTCTGATGACGATATGCTAATGTCAAAAACTCATAATGAATAATATGTATCAACACATTAATTTCTGTCTTTTTTTTTTTAATATCCTAAAATAAATAATATATATATATATGTGAATATATATATATATATATATATATATATATTAACACTAGAATATTTGTCTTGAAAAAACAACACCCTGATGCTGATATTATACTAATGTCAAATGAAGTCTCGTAATAAATAATATGTATCAACACATTAATTTCTCTCTTTTCTTTAATAATGACACCAAAAATCTTGTCTGTGAATATGAAGGAATCAAATTGAAAATAAGTAGACAAACCTTGTCTAAATTATTTAATGGAACATATCTTGATATATATATATATATATATATATATATATATATATATATATATATATATATATATATATATAAATGGTTGTACTCATTTGGAAAAACCTTGATAGCTCAACTTGAAGTAGAAACAAAGTGGTACCTGAGGAAAAATTAGAAATAAAAAGAAATAACCCAGAACATTAAAATAAGGTGAAACAATCATCAAGTGTTTAAGCTCTAAATCCAAAGGAAAAAAGACAAAACGAGTAAAAAGACAACAGCTTCACCCTGAAGATCCATTTAGATGAAACCTAGGCAGGTTTGCCTGGCTTCTTAAGATTATTCTAGTATATATATATATATATATATATTGACAACATCTCTGAAAATTTGCCCAGAAGAACTACATAGAATTCTAATAAAATGAGGCTACCTCACAACATTAATGAACAAATGTTTTGAACTAGTAAAAAAAACTACCTTTAAACCAACTATGAAAACCAAAGAAGCATAACATCAATGCAGATGTCTCAACATACAACATGAACAATCTAGAACTATTTACAGAAATTACAAAAAGTCTAGACCTACTTACCAAGAATGATAAAATGAAAAATATACTAAAAACCACCAAAATAATTAAAAGCAAACACCAATGAAAAAACCTGAAAAACATATTATCCTCATCCACATTTAGCCAACAAACAATACAGAGAGTCACAAAATGCAAAAAAAAAGAAAAACATGTGGAGTTTGGGATATCATTATAGAAGGAAACTCCTACACTTTTGAAAACCCCACAATGACATTTACAATAAATAAAAATTTAAACTGCAACTTCAAAAATGTTATTTATGCAGTCAAATGCACAACATGCAACAAGTCATATATAGGTATCAGCCAAGCACTACACAACAGTTTCCCTTCACAAAAGCAACATCAAATTACCAGACAACAGAAAACTCTATATTTCAACACATCTACAAATGTAATCAAGGTAAATTTAAAATTATGCCAATATATCAAACAGGCAATTATTCTTACCTATAAATACAAGAAAAAAACTTCATAAACAAATTTAAACCAGCACTAAACAGATCATAGCCCAACACACATAAACACATAGCACATACACATAATGGCTGAAACTTTGGGAATAAAAGCAGACTGACTCAAGGGTTAAAATAAATAACATATTTTATTTATTTTCCTTAGAGTGAAAAGTGAGTCCTTTGGTATTTGGCATAGCAAAAAGTTTGTAAATAAGGCAGATATTGATATCAGTCTGGAGAAATATCTGCTTTGTGGTTGTTTTGAAGTCAGAGAATGATAGTAGTAGTACAAGTAAGATCAGAAATTAGGTTAGTGTCAATCTATTGTTTTTTTTGGACCTGAAACAGAGGGGAAATGTGAGTAGCAGATGACCTCTTGACTCCTTCTTCATGCATCATGCATGCCTGCATTCTTTTGTTCCATGCTCTCTTGCCGTCCCATCTGCTTGTAGCCCTGAGATGTCAGGTTTTATATCCTTTTCACAAGAATTAGGTGCAAACATCAAAAAGTCTCTTTGCGTGAATTTTTTTGATTGCCCAAATTATTTTATTTTCTGGCATTCAATACCAAAAGACTGTATATATTTTATGGCATTCTTTTCTTTTTCATTTTTTTTAATAATGAAAGTTATGCATGAGACCTCACTGATTTTTGCTATTTTTCAGCCACAAATAAGTGGGCTCTGCTCCTGCAATACCCTGGTGCTTTTGACCAGGTTCTGTTTTTCATTCTTCCTCTTTTTATTTGAGTGTTGTTCTTCCTTGGTCCTAACCTGGACCATAACAGAACCACAAGCACTAAATTACACACTGGGAAGAGCTGCTGCCTGAGGCTCCATACATGATCAGAACTTTATTGTGCACTAGTGCAAATGCAATGCCACATGAGAGATCTTTTAAGTTCCCAAGACAAAGAACCCTCACCATGCTCTCATCCAGCACCTTTTGATGGAATGCAATAAAATGCCTTGCTTAGAGATTTGGCATTCACTGGATGGGTATTGAATCCACAGGAAGGCTCCCCATTCTTGAGCCTATAAACTTCCCCACTGATAACACCGATGATATGCTACCTGAGAATTCTTCCAAAGACTAAAGCCCAGATGATTGGGAAGACTCTGATGCCAATAACAGATCAGCTTCACAAAAGCAATAACACCCAAGCACAGATGGTGGTGACTTACTTTCAGACTCTGAGCATTCTACTTTGAGTAGGAGATAGAAAAAAATTAAAACTAGACTATTCCAGACAATGCACCTTGCAGTGCCCAAAGCCCCTGACTGGGTACAGCCACAATGTTCTGGACAAATTTGCAAAAAATCCAGTCATTTAGACAAATACATTACTTATGACCGAACAAAACTGAGGGGGGATAAAATGCGATGGAAGTCAACCATAGTTGTCTCTCCTTGGACCAGTTATAAAAGAATAAGCTCCATCCTGTTTGTTTCCCAGAGTTGAGATATAGTTGAATAAAGTTTCAAATAAAGCTTCTACCTTGTTTGTTTTTCATTGCAGTATAAGTGTTGTAAATCAAGAAAATAAAGGCATTATATTGCCAAATTGAAAGTATGTTTGATATTGACACAGTACTCACACAGTTAAAGCTATCTATTGGTAATCAGATCTATTTATATGCGGTTGGTGTTTGCCAAAACTTGCTTGACACCACAAGCTGAGGTGAAATCAGTAGAGTGTAACTAAGTTATAAATGTTCAGATGATAGGGGGTAACAGTTAAAAGGACGTAACCAGAATGAAAACACTAAACGTTATTGTTTTACTCTTTTTTGCATTTGATTTTATTGAAACCGAATGTCCAGTGAGTATTTTACCTGATTTTTGCAGTGATCAGGTAAGAAACAATGATTATTTATTTGTTTTGTTTTCAGTGATTAATTTCTTATTTGTAAGTAGTACAGGTAAGTTTTGACTCATCGGGACGTCTGTAAAAGTGATAGTGTAAGTTTTATTTTTTTTCCCTGAATTTCATCTATATTTGTGTTAATATTGTTATAGTTCACTTTTTGTGTTAAAAGTAGGGTTTTATGCGTGTATTTTTATTCATACATTTAAACATGATTATTTGCTCTCAAAACAAACTCAATTTGATAAATACTAAGCAAAAAATATCCCACTTCAGCCACATTTAATCTCTTCAACATTTATTCATGGCTCTACTAAATCATGAATAAATATTATTTTTATACGTATTTCCCCCAAAATATCTTTGTTAATAACTCCTGTCTTTCAGCAAATAAATATTTATCTAATATTGTATTTTATTAGAGTTGTATTAAGTGTATTTTTGCTATTTTATTTTATACAGATTTCTTCATGTATTAAAACTATTGAAAGTTCAGTTACTTAGAGATCAATTCTGGCATAAGAATTAATTACAACAATTATTGTATTAAAAATATTAAAAGTTCTAATAAGTACCTTAGACTTTCAATATTTTTCATATAAGAATTATTGATGTAGACATCTATTGAGTACTTTACTGACAAAAGTTCTGTTCAACTTCAGACTTTCTCTCCCATGGGTCCAGCCGAGAGCAATCATTTTTTGACTAGCATTCTCGCATAGCTTCCGCATGATTGCAAGAATTGTAACGATATTTGTGCCGGCTCAAATGACATCCTTTTACATATATCAATAGGTGTTGTAAAAAGTTTATTTTGGACCAGCATTTGTTTTATAATCATCTGAAGGGTCATAACCAGTAACTAACAAAGGATGTTATTTTTTGTTTATTATTATTTTCCTGTATTGAGATATGTGTGTGTGTGTGTGTGTGTGTGTGTGTGTGTGTGCAGGAATGGTGAGAACAGAAATTAATCTGAGATGGCAGCTGTCTGTGGTCCCTAGTGGAGTGGGTAGGTAGGTGCAGATATCCTGGTACTTTCAAAATGATCAAGATTCAAGGATCTTTCAGCAATTTTAATAACGTTTTATATTTTAATGCCATCAAGTAATGGGTGAAAAACCAATTTCCTTCTTTCAACAAAGGCAATCTCATTTACCAATCAACAATATCATTTTGAGCAAAGATAAACATTTGTTGGTTTAATTGATTAATTTATTGAAAGTTGAAACAAATTATCCAAATTACTTTAATGAGATCAATAATGCAGAATTCAGAATTATTGTAACTTAAATGAAACAGGTTTTATGTGTCTTTTCTTAAAACGAAACATGCTTTATGTGCTTTTTCTTTTTAAGAAAACATGTGCCTTATTCAAATGAAACATGTCTTGTGTGCTTTTTCCTTTTAAGAAAACATGCCTTGTGTGTCATTTTCAAATGAAACATGTTTTATCTTTGTCTCATTGTTTATATTTTTCATTATGCATGTTTTATATTTCATTATGATAACCTTTTTTAAACAATATATGCCTTATAAACATTTTTTTGAAAACTGAAACAGCATTTATATGGCTTTTTTAAACAAAACAAGCTTTATATGCTTTTTCCTAAATGAAACATGTTTTATGTGCCTTTGTGAAAGAAAATAGGTACTATATGCTTTTTCTTAACTGAAAATTCTTTATATGCCTTTTTATTTTTTAAAAAATAGGGTTTATATGCTTTTTTTTTAAATTAAACAATCTTTAGTGGCTTTTTTTAAAACAAGTTTATTTCAGTAAAGTCAGTTCTCCTGACAAATTAATTCTCAAAGGATGGCAATGTCATTCATTCAGTTTCTCTTATGTTTAAGAGTTGATGTGGTTACACATCTTCACCAAAGTTTAATCTTAAGGTAGACCCCTTCTCTTCTACATAGATTCTTTGAGAAAGCATCTGGTTATTTGTCCAATAATCTTTTACATGAAAGGTTGAATTCCACTTGTGTAACACTTTGGTACTACCACAGAACTCCAAACAATTTATTTTGTTTACAGTGTCAGAGTTAGCTCCTCCTCAACTCCTTAACCCTTCACTAGGGGTCTCTCTCCCCTGGCTATAAATACTGGGTGACCCTTCACCTCTATCTCTCTTTTCCTCAGGCTTTCAGCCTTATACCACCTCGCAGATGTGAGCTCTCACAGATACAGTGTTTCCCAAATGCTGGGAACACACTAAGAACAATACACACACATATAATATTCACCACATGCACTTTGTCCATGTAACTGTCCATGTACTTGTAACTTGTTATTAATACATATATTTGTTTACATATATTTATCGGTCTTGTTTCTTTTTCTTGTCTTCTTTGGACTTAATTAAAGTCCAACTTTCTCATGTAGTTGGACTGGCTAGCAGGAAATTCTACCCTCGTGTGTTCTACAATACATACACATCACCCCAACAGTCTGCTACAACAGTATCAAACTACTTTGACACATCAGCAAGCACTGAATCAATGACAACAAAGAAGGTGGAAAAATATTCTTTTTAGAATGGTTTTAATTTAATATTATTGGTCACTATATCATAATTACAGTTAATTGACAAATTCTTTTAAGTGCCATATCCCAAGAGGATGTAGGTGGTCATGGCTGTCCACATCTTCCTATCTTTTGTAGCTTTGAGCAAAATTTGCCTACTAACAATCCATCCCAGTTCTTACACTACCATCCATTTACATAAACTAATTAGGTAGGCTATTTTTGTAACGTACGGTGGCCATTAATAGTTAAGTATAACTCAAGACTTCAATGTTAAGATAAAACAGTATTTAATTGCAACTGCATATAAATACTTAACAAAAACAAAGAAGTAAAGTCAACCAAAGATAATTAACTATTTGAGTGAATACCTTGTTAATATCATGGCTTGGTTTAACATCTGGTAAATCCTAAATCAAAACCCAAATCATCGATGCACAATAATTCACACTAATTCAACTGGACAGTTCCACTCAGTAGTCACTCAATAATCACTTCAGTCAGTAGCCTGACATCGCTATTTATAAACCTGGTGGAAAACATATATTCATAAGTCCAGAGTGTCACACTTGAACCTCGGTGTCGGTAGTTACTCATTTTCTTCCTATATGACACAAATCCATTAAATCGAATGGTGATGTATGTCCAGTACTCTTCATCATCGTTTCAGGATATGGGCGATCATGATCCTCCACAACTTCCTTCTTTTTGCTCTAAGGAAGTTTTCCCACTTATCCCCCTTCTTTGTCTTTGTTCTATCATCTATTCACAAAAATGTATCGGGTAAGTTACCCGATGTTTCTCCTACTTTTTTTCTTTTTTTAATGCAATTATTCATTTATTACTGTTAATTGACAAATTCTTCTTTTATGTGCCATGTCCCAAAAGGATGGTCATGGCTGTCAACATCTTCCTATCCTTTGTAGCTCTAAGTGTCCCAAAAAGGTGGTCATGGCTGTCAACATCTTCCTATCCTTTGTAGCTCTAAGTGTCCCAAAAAGGTGGTCATGGCTGTCAACATCTTCCTATCCTTTGTAGCTCTAAGTGTCCCAAAAAGGTGGTCATGGCTGTCAACATCTTCCTATCCTTTGTAGCTCTAAGCAAAATTTGCCCGCTTACAATCCATCCCAGTTCTTACACTACCATCCATTTAGATAAACTAATTAGATAGGTTATTTACGGTTTCCCTCCGTAACTGACAGCCTTCAATATGTACAGTGAGTGATCAATTCTCTAGGTCATTTCTTCATCATCTGTTCCAGAAATTTCAACTCTCTTTGACTCTAAGTTTGTTGGTTTTGTTTGTTTAACAAATTATCAACCTCTATGGGTTATTTAATACTGAAATCTAAATATATAGTATGCAATTTCTTTTTTTTTGAGATAATAATGGTTTTAGTGATACAAGTCTTACTAATTAACCCATAGATGGGAGGGAAAGAGGTGGAGTCATACCTTTTCCATGAGTATTTCTTCATAAGTGATTATAACAAACCCAATGGGAATTGGAACATGTATCTTCAGTTAACAATTACAAGCCATTATTCATTACACCACCTGCACATCCCAGTTTAGAGCACCTGGTATTCCCAGGTGGTCACCCATCTAGGTACTGACCAAGCTCAACATTGCTTAACTTTGGTGATTGTATGGGAACAGCGTTTCAGCGTAGTGTGGCCTGTAAGCCTGATTTTAATTATAAGTGTCAGTTGACAAATAATGGTATTAAATAACCATGGGTCTGGTTTCCCATACGTCTCATGGAATATAAAAAAGTGTGAATATGGTAAGAAACATTGAGAGGTAAATTAAGGTTAAAGAGAAGATAATATATCAAATTACGATATTTATTTCTGTAAAATTACAGAAAATGTGGCACAAGGCCTAAAAAAGGGGATGGGGAAAAGGATGGTCTTCATCTGTCTTAATTTTAAACTTAGCTAGCCATAAGCACTGATCCAAACATACAAAACAATATTCTTAACACCAAAACAACACATTCTTACTAGCCTTTCTTACTACATCCACCATAATACCTCATTGTCTCTATGAAAATCCTAAATAGACCCCATATGTACAAATTGTTGTATGTGGTGTGGGTAGGAATAAAACAACAAATTAAAAAATCCCCAATGAGTATATACAATATGAATATAATCTATTTACAATAAACTAAAGAAAATCATGTTAGTAATAAAAAAACCCACAATCCTTAAATGTGGCAGAAACATCAGTTAACTGGATAAATAAATCAACGCGGGACTATGAAAAATATAAAAAAACATTCATTTATCCCTAGCACTCACACAGACACACACTCATCCAGACACGACAACAGAAATGATAAAAAAAACACACAGGCGAAAAAACGCAAAGCGCCCCACATCCGCCAGAGAACTGACATCATTGACCACCTAACGAAGAAAGGGATGGAGAATATGTCAAATTACAGTAACAGTTTCATAGGATTGTCCTGCTTTTGAATATTAGTTATGAGGAGTCTGTTCCTGTTGTTCCTTTTATTATTAAAATATATGAACAATTTTGTTTTTCTTATCCCAAATTCCCATGATGGAAGTTAGTATTTTTAAAATTTTAATTAGTTCTCATTAAAAACAGATTATTAAGCAACTTCCCCTGGGATCGTTACATTCCAAAGACACTCTAAGAAAAATTAATATAAAAATTCTAAAATTAATCTATTAGGTGATGCTAGATTAATCCCCACCTTTGCCACCAAAATCCATGTTGAGGCATCTCAAATAATAAAGCTTGTTCTAACATATACAAAATTCTAATCTCATTATTCACTTGCAATAAATCTTTACAATTATACACAAAAATAACTTTTCACACAATAAATATATATATATATATATATATATATAGATAATATTAGTGGTAAATATACATACATATGCAAAATATATAAATACCCATACATGCATATTTTTTGAATAAAATTCCAAGAGGATAGAATCCAGGTAGAACTCAATGTCCAGGACAGAGTAAGGATATATATATATATATATATATATATATATATATATATATATATATATATATATATATATATATATCAAGTATAGTATTGTGTGTATACGGAATAAATTCCAATAACCAACAAATACTATTCTTAAAAAGAGTGCTCAATACAGAGTAGAGCAAATATAATTATTTATCAGAAAATTATAACATAAATATGTCATAAAATCACCACAAAAATAGCCATTTTGTTTCAACACTTCTGGTATCTTATCAAGTCATGGTGTTGAATGTAGAATAAAGGGTTTTAAAAGGTTCAAATCAATCAAACACCCCTTTGCTAGGGGAAACGCTGTTACATAAGCTGGAATGACCAATCAAGATACAAGTATATAAGAATTCAAGAAACTTGAGAATGAACTTTGGTTATAATAATTAATTAATGCTTTAATGTTAGGGTTAGACTAAAATAGAATTCATTCTAACTAATAAATATTAAATTATACTATAAAATTAAAAATTCAAATTTACCAATTTTAAATTTTAAATTTAATTTATATTAAGTTTAAAATTATAAAATTATTTAAAGAAGAAACCGAGGAAAAAAATACATATGTTTTTCTATCTATTTTGTTTCCATTCTCCCATTTATACATATGTGGGTGAGTCCACCTGATCACTTGGGGTATAAAAATATGTCAATAATTTAAGAGAAATAAAATATATTTAAAACTGAGAAATCAGTTAATTTTCATTGTTTTTTGATTCCTCAGGCTGTTTGTCAAAAACACTAAAAATCTTCTCTTGTATATATCAGGGGTGGCCAAATCATGGCTCACGAGCCTCATGCAACACTTTGACCTTTAATATGCGGTTCATGGAAATATGTTGGCTAAGCTCCTTTTTTCATCACAGTTAATATAAATGGTAAATAAGAAAAATTTCAAGCTTTATAATTATTTACTGGGTATGAAATGATACCCGATTGGATTAAAACGTAAGTTTAATGTTCATGATTAGTAAAAAATATCTAAGAATTTAAATCCTAATTTTAATACTAGATGTGAGGGAAGGAATGGTGGAAGGCGGAGAGATTAAAGAAATTTCTGATCAGCAAGGGTTACAGAGGAATGTCAGAAGACTGAGGTCAGGGGTGAGGGGATTAGAGATTTGGGTGCACCAGGGTGGGGGAGTGAGAGTGGTTACATGTGCATGTAACAAAAGCATATGTGTAAATTTTGTTCATGTCTTGCGGCTCTCAAACATCTGAACTTTATCGTATGTGACTCTTACCTTAATCAAGTTTGGTCACCCCAGTATATATCAATCCTGATCAATATTTACAAACTGTCAAAAGCGTTGAAACTTGAATAGCTGGTTTATCAGTTTTAAATTGATTTTATTTCTTCTAATTTATTGATGCTATTAATCTCTACATTTTTGTAATAAAAGTTCTTGATATCAAGAGATTGAGTCAAAATGGTATAAAGAGAAGCTACCATTAATTTACGTTTTTTTTTTTTTTGTTTTTTTCTTTACAGTAATGTTCACCATGTACAAGGCCTGGGGGCCACTCAAGGTAGAGGGTTACATTAAAAAGTAGTTTATATGGATAGGAGCAGAAGATAATGATTAACCCTAGACTTGAACAGGTTAAGATTGTAGTGACTGGGGAAACATCCTACATGGAGGTAGTTCCACAGAGCAGTGGTTTACAGGATGAAGCTGTTTGAGTGGAATTTACTTCTAACCAATGGAATACGAAGGGAGTGTAGATGGTTTGCTTTATAAAATGGTAAATAATAAATCTTTATAAAAGGTGAATAATAAATACCAAAATGTACCTAGTTCACATATTTTTATAATCTTGTAAATAAATATGGCAGAAGAAATGAAGATTGTACAAAATAATACAAATGTCAAAGGCAAAAAAACATCTTTTTAATATATTGTTGTTTTGAAGGCATGAAGGTTAATGTTTCCCAAAAAATTTATGAAAATGTTCTTGATGTTAATTAATATAGAAAGGCTTAAAAAACTGGATGTGCTAGTAGTGTAATATACAAAGTCTGTCTGAAAAGTAACAGGACTGGTGTCACAAACAATATTTTTTAAATTCCAATTGACAAACTACATGGTTTCCTCTTCAAAGTAATCTCCCTTGAGTCTAATGCACTTTTCCATCCTTCTCTGCCATGTTTCTATGCACTGCTGGAAGGATTCATCTTGGATGCCCCTCTGATACAATTCTCTTAATGGCCTCCATGTCTTCAAAACATGTCCCCTTGATGATCACCTTGAGCTTGGGGGAAAAAAAAAAGTCACATGGAGCAAGGGAGGTTGTTCCTGCATGGCAATGTTCTTCTCTGCCAGGAACTTCCAGATGCTCAGGGTGTTGTGAGTAGGTGCATTATCATGCTGAAGCTGCCACAATTTGTCCTGCCACAACTCTCATCTCTTCTTATGCATTGAGCAAAGCAATCACCCCAGGATCTCTTTGTAGACTTGCTGATTGATTGTCTAGCTCTCTGGCAATAACTCACTCTGGATGATGCCTCTTACATTGAAGAATGGATAAGTCCTGTTACTTTTTAGACACACCTTGTATATCGGCATGGAAGATGGAACTAGTGAAATCAAATTCCAGATTAGTCTATTGCATTCACTTTTTCACAAATGTCTTTGGAAATGGCAAGAATCCATCTCTTCACCCTAGCTAGAGTTTAAATAGCAGAGTAGACTGAACTCTCAAGCTTTGGGTGGCAACCAATCTAAAAGAAGGAAAACTATGAATACAAAACTGTGTCAAAGGCAACAGGAAACCTCTCTATTATTATTCTGGAAAAGGGATAGCAATTCACTAATAATAAAGAAAGGAAAGCTGTGGAGAGTCATGATCCAGAAGGAACATGGCATTTACAAAAAAAACCATTAAAACTATTAATTTATTACTAGCTGAACCTTGAACCCTATTATAGGCTGACACTTGACATGTTGTCTTTACATTTTAAGGGAGTAGATTGCAAGCATCCATTAAATATGGCCATATACTGCATATTGCATTATAAATTTTAAAATTAGCTTTTATGACATCTAATTTATTTAATCATGTAGAGCAGGACTCATGGAAATTCCACAGTTTTTACTAACTGAAACTAAACATTTTGGGCTGGCATATTTCATATTACTGTACTATTTCACTGACACAGATGTTAAATGCACAATGGTATTGTCTTTTCTATTTCTCCTTTCTTTCTAGAAAGAATATATATATATATATATATATATATATATATATATATATATATATATATGCTTCTTCAACATATCCCAGAATGAAGCTTGCTGAAAGTTAAAAAACAGGGTTAGAGATTTACTGTTTCCTGTTGCTCTACCCAGAATTTGTGGACAGGGGATAGGCAAACTATTACAGGGAGTAACAGATATGTTAACTATGGAATGAAGGAACAAGTAGAATTATAATATGATGATTTTTGCCTATACATGAAAAAGTTTTTCCATTTTGTCATACATTTTCTTTATATATATTGTGATGTAGCCACGATTTCATTAAACTCATAGACGTTAGGCTAAAAAGCACCCCCAGAGTAAAATCTTAAATAAAGAGAAAATTAGTTAGATATAAAAGAAAAATAAATAAATAAATTAATAAATAAAAATAGAAATTTA